AAGGTGCATATGCCTATTTCAAACAATAAATTCCGTTACATAGTCCGTTAAAACAACAAATTCCGTTAATTTTTCCGTTAAAAATAAGAAATTCCGTTACATAGCCACTTTTAATATATAGAAGATAATTATATTATATTTTTAATATTATGTAAATTTACATAAATAAACATATATAAAATTAAATAAAAATATATCACTCTAAATTCATCCACTAATATTTATTTATGTTAAACTCTCTTGGATCTTTGTATATTTTTTTTAGAATTTGTGTTTAACTAAAATCCACCATAATTTCCTAGAGCTTGTTGATACCACCTTAAGGTCTTGTCTGCATTTATATTTGTCAAAGTGTTATTGCTAATAGCCTTTAGATGGATGACCATGGAGCTCTATCTCTTGCAGTCAAACAGTTATACTATATTATGAAAAACAGTATTGTTTTTAAGGAATAATAAGGAAGGTAGAAATAGGGACGGATTTCGAGTGGCGTGAATATATAAAATTTGTGTGGATCTATAGCGTTTAAATGAATATATTTAACAAGGATAATATTGAAATATGATGTAGATGAAAATAGTAATTTTTTAAAATTTTAATAAGAATGAATATAGAGTATGATAGATATATATAACAATCGTGGATATAAATAGCAGTTCCTGTTGTTATGGATATGATGAAAAGTGAATTTCTTGGGAATCATTTTTTGCCACTTCTTACAATTTGAACAACCAATTTTGAAATTTCCAATTTTATGTTAGGACATATCCAACAGCCTTCAAGTCCTTGATGCTTTTCCTGTCCTTGAACATGGTTTCCCAGTCTATAAATTATGTTGGCAGTTGAGTTAACAAACACATTGGTGCTCTTATGATTGTGATCCGAAACTAATGTTGTCGGGATAAATAAAAATGTAAAAATTACTTTTAAATAACTTTCTATTTTTATAAATTAATATGTTTAGCTAAGGTTTATAAGTGCTTAAAAGTCAAATATGTTATAAGAGTATCTCCAAAAGACTTTCTAGTTTTAAAGAGCATATTCTATCATTTGCAGAGCATTTATAAATTTAGAGAGTTCAAATTTTGAAGTACTCCAACAAACACTTTATATTCAACACTTAATTTTACTACTCTTAAAAAATATTTATTATTTTTCTGTATCTTTTATTTTTACTAGCTTTTCTTTAGATTATTTTATTGTTTTCCTATATTGAAAATTGAAACACTTTGAATACATTTAATTATAGAGAGTGGGGTTGGCTCTCCAAATTTGGAGAGTCAAATGCACTCTCTAAATTGAAATGTTAATTTAAAGAATTTTTTGGAGCATAATTTTAAATGTTAATTCTTTAAAATAAAGAGAATCTTATGTTTAAAGAGTTTCTTGGAGCTGCTCTAAGTGTATGTGTTAGGGGTAAAATTTTACATTTGTTGAGTAAAAAAATATCAACAATATATAAGGGCCCTTGTTTGAGTTCCATTTTGGTAAGAAAATATATATTAGAATAGTGATTTTTTGGAGAATGTATGGTTAAAAAAAAAAAGTTTTTAGTTTATGTGTAATATTATTTTGTGGAGAGAATATGTGGTTGAAAATGAATTTTTGAAAAAATGAGAGCCAAACATAGACTTGTTTACTCCTAATAAGGTTGAAAGTCGAACATGCTCTAAGCGTATTCGTTCAAGGCAAACTCTTATATATATATATATATATATATATGGTATCAGAGCTAATTGTACACATGGTTACTCACTTTAACAAGATTGATTTTTTAAAATATAACAACTAGTCTTATACTATACTTTGATGGCTAGGACAAAACTCATTCAAACTCTTTCACCGACGTGAAACTTCGTGGAATCTTGCTACGTGAATATTAAACTGATTTATGAAAAATCAAACCCAAAAACCAAAGAAATTCAAGTCACTTTTAAGTTATTCATAAGATTTTGACAATATAATGCACATGAGAAAATAAGGATTCTACATACACAATTGAAGTGCTTGATGGACATGGAAATGACTAACTTCTGCAGATAATTTGTCAACACACTCAAAACAACGGTGAATCAGAATTTGAAGAATTCACCAAATTGAGAATACTATTCCAATAATTCTTGTCATTACCACTACCACTAGGGCCGCAACCGTTATCCCACTCTCCACCACCATCGCCGGATAAACTGCCGCCATCTCCGGAGAAACTGCGATCTGCACCTGCAGTACTTAAGAGAAGGTCTGTGAATCTCTGCACAAAGTTTCCACTTGGAACATGCTCAGAATTTACCCTAAGAGATTCTGATTCCCATGCATTTTCGACTGGCAATGAAATGTCATGGATTCCTGAGGTAAATGACACTGAATTCGCAATCCCATCTCTGTATTCGGGCAAATTGGATGAGTTCTCGAAACCCTTCCAGTCTTCTTTGCCCTCTTCTTTCATGATTCCGGCCTCAGAGGACCCGGAGGAGTTGCCCACAAAGTCGACGAATGCAGTCGAGTTCTCTCCAATTCCGGCGGTGGACATAGGCGGTGCATTCTCCGAATAGCTAAGTGTAGAGGTGGGGGATTCAAGTTCACCACCAAGTCCCACCATAGCACCGCCAACATTCCATGCCTTAAGTATGTCGAGACACCGAGCCGGGCCAGGGAGACCGACAGGATTTTTCATCGGGCTTGAAGTACTCGAGCTAAATTCAGGCGAATTGAGAGGATTCGTGAAAGTATTTGAACGTAACTTGGATTGTCTAACAAGTCGTGCCTCGGCCTCTAGACGGGCACTCTCCCATTGAGCCATATGGCTAAGATTTGCTGCATTTTTTGACTGACCATCGCTCAACTTAAGAGCATCATTTTTCGGCTTGTGGGTCACCGGGTCAATCCCCATTTTGTCCAATCTTTTCTTCAGATGTGTATTCCAGTAATTCTTGATTTCATTATCTGTTCTTTTGGGCAAATGCGTGGCTATAGCCGACCATCTGAGGAAAGATAATCTTAAAATTAACAAAAAGTGCCAAAAAGTCAGACAACAAGAAAACAAAAAGCCAATAAAACAACTTTCTGCCATTGGTTCTCAAGTTAAAACAAGAAAAAACCCTCTTTTTCTATGTTAATGGGAAGTAAATACAAAAACAGACGTATTAAAAGATACCATATGAAATACGTCGTGCGAATCTGAAATAATATATTCTAAATTAGACATTTGAATGACAAAAGTTCAAATTTCAGCAATTTGTATGGATATCTGCAAAAAATGCGACACTGCAGAGGAGGCAGTAAATGATGCCACTCATCGAAACTCTTAAACCGGCACGGAAGTATTAGACCGGACTCGACACCTAAATAAGTGAGATTTAATCTTTTTTTTTTAAACTTCTCTAATACAGACTAATCTGTACTATTAGCTCAGATGAACACGATATACTAGTCTTTACTGAAGTCAAGATTCAAGATTATGAGCTTTTCTCATAAAATTTTGTTAAATAAATAAGAATGATTAAAAGCAAAAACCTGTTTCCTAGGAGGGCATGGAGTTGAATGATGGTCTGTTCTTCTTGTAAACTGAACTTCCCTCTTTTAATATCAGGTCTCAAATAATTAGTCCACCTCAATCTGCAACTCTTCCCGCATCTCTGAAGCCCTAAAAACAAAAACCCATAAAGATTCAGTAAAGAAACAGTAAATTTGTGTTATGCCGAACGGAACTGACCAGTGTTATAAACGAGATTTCAGTTTCTTTTTTATCCTTTATTCACTCAACTAAGCCCTCCTCACTGAACAAACCATAACATAAGTACAACTTTGCTTGATATAGTCGAGTCGAGTCGAGTCGAGCCGAGCACTATATAGTCCACCTTACAAAAAAAGAATACGAGAAATGAAAAGATAATTACCAGCTTTTGCAGGCAAAGCTCGCCAGCTTCCATGGCCATGTTCTTCGATATGAGCAAGAAGTTTCTGATCTTCTTCAGGTGTCCATGGCCCTTTCTTCAAACCAACTTTGTCACAACATGGAGATCGACCCATCGGCAGTTCAAATTTTATCAGCAAAAATATGTTTTCTAGCTTTTGCTCCTTTTTAAAGTTGTAATTAGAGTGAGAAGGGAGAGAGTAATAAATGAGGAGAGGGAGGGATAGGGCAAAGAAAGGTCAGCGACAAAGATGGGATAAAGATAATAAATATGATGGGAGCAAGAAATTTATTGCAGAATTTACTAAAACTTTTATTATTGGGTCCTAAAATTTAAATGACCTCATTGCAATTATCTTTCATGGCTATAATTTATCAATAAAATATATCAAACATCATAAAGTTGTATTAGTTTGGTTTTATGTGAATTTATCCATGTTTATTAAACTTGTTGTAAGAGAATTAATTGTTTATTTGTAGTGTTGTGCATATTTGACACGCGAGTAATAAAATATTTATGGCGTTTGCAATTATGTATAATAATCGTGTGATTGAATGTTCACTTGCATATGAATTCGGATTAGGGATATGATCAGCTCGACCTAAATATATGTTTAATATATATTGAAAAAAAATATTAGATATTAATAGATTATCGATTGTCATGAATACTCGAATGATACTAACTTACATAAGTCGAGAATTGGGAATAAGGATCGATAGGTGGAGTCGAAAATTCAATATATTCGTCTCATTATTTGATTAAGACAAATCTTTTACAATATTTTTAACGTAATTTAGGATAATGACAAAACAAACAAATCTTTTGTGTTACGATTGATCGAGTTTGATAAGAACCAGTACACTATAGTTTAACGTTATTCCTCGTCGGACGATATACGTACTCACTACGTATTATTTGTCAACGATCTAATACGTTTGCGAGATTTTCTCTAACATGACTAGAAGTCTAGAACAAGCCAATCAAATAAGTTTTGTTTGATGTAGGTATGCATGGTCAACGAATGTAAAATTTTAAAATCTGTAATAGAATTTATTTGACCTTGTAAAGTTATAATCTTGCATTAGATACGTGAAATCGTTTTTTGCGATCTTATAACTGAATTATACAATTTTCTTTGGATTATACGGTGCTTAATTACATAGAAAAATCTTGATTTGGATATAAACCTCTTTCCATTATCATTCTACCAAAAAATATAATTTTGGTTTGTAAATAAGCAATTTCTTAAAACATCTACATAAGCACAAATTCTTGATAATTTGCTGATGAATATGAGAAAATAGGGAACAAAATTTAATTGATTGTGCTTAATATTTATATTTTCGGTGGAAAAAAAATTGTACATTCAAGCTATATTCCATATTCCATTATTCCGCCCCACCTCTCAATCTTATTCATGTAACCCTAAGAATTTTAAAATTAGAAAAAAAAAAACTTTTACTAAATTTTAATAATAAAATATATAATTGAAAAGTTATTCATCCATGAAATATATAATTAAAATTAATTATTAATTTTGATTTAAATAAAACAGGAGCTTGGCTACAAATTAAAAGTTGATTAAAATTTAAATTAAGGTTAATAATTAATTTTAACCACAAATTTTGTGAATCATTCCTTAATTTTTATCAAAAATTATTAAATATATATATTTTTATCTAAATCAAACAGAGACTTAATATTAGCCAAAGAAAAAAAATATATATTATTTTCTAAGGTGAGATTATATTCGCACCAAATTTTTTATTAGTTGGCCATACTTAAAGTTGTCAATTTTTTTTTAATTCTAGCACTTATATTACCAACCTTTTTTCGAAGCATTATTATCTTCAACCTTTTATTAATAAGCATATCTTGTCTTTTGATAACGATTTCTGTCCAAAAGATTTTTTGGAAGAACGTAAAAAATGTATTTGCGCATCATATTATTAAGAACAATAAACGCAAAAATGCTATAAAAATATTTGTCTCTCATTTAAAAGCAAAAACAATATATTTTGACAAAAACAATCACTAACAACGAGATGTGCTAATTAATTGATTGTTTAGAATAAGAATTTGACAAAAAAAAAGTGTTAGGAACGAACATAATTCTTATAATGTTTACCCTTGCCCTTGCCTGATCAAAATCCTATACTCGAAGGCTTTGCATTTAAGCATGAAAATTGAAAATTGTCGGCCAGTCAACGTAC